TATTTCCCCCTGACAGACCCCAGTGTGTGATGCTCCCCTCCCTGTGTCCATGTGTTCTCACTGTTAGGAAAGACATCACAGTCTGTGACCAATTCTTCACATTATCTCCTGAGTATAGCAACAATTCTAATACCAAGAAAAGCAAAAACTGCATATTTTCTCCACAAGCTTCTGTGTAGGTGTGCTATATGTGCTGATGTGAACTGCTCTCTCACATCCTGAGATCATTTCTACTTTTAATTTTTGCTGTGCTTAAGATCTTATTTTATAGATTTATTTTCAACATGTCTTACTTTATGTAATTTCTCAATTGAATTCTGTTATAAATCCTCTTAGGTTACTTAAGTAGTAAAATCTTATTAGCTTGCCCTTTTAGATAAGGAGGAGTCTATTTTGTTGAGTACACTTTGAAAATCACATTTCTGTCTGTGGAGGGCTTGAATAGGTGCTAAGAGACACTGTGTTTTATATGTTACCTGATTGTCATATACACTTGTCCAGCAGTATCCATGGAAGACTGGTTCCAGGGCCCCACTAGGATACAAAAATCCAAGGATCCTCAAGTCCCTTATATAAAATGGTGTCATATTTGCACACAACCTTTGTAAATCCTCTCGTATACTTTAAATCATCTCTAAATTACTCACAATATGTAATACAATGTAAATGCTATGTAAATACTTGTTATACTGTATTGGTTAGGGAATAATAAAAATCTGTACATGTTTAGCACTGATGCAGCCATTTATTTTTTGCCAACTATTTTTGATCCAACGTGGCTGAAACCACAAATGTGGAACTGATGGATACAGAGGGCTGACTCTCTTTGTTTTCATAGACTTCAGAGTGTAGAACACTTTTACCGTCTAGTGAAGTGCTTACTTAATTGAATGACAAATGCTTTCAAAGATATTTTCTTGTTGATTATTTCACTGTGTATAAGCAAATAATGTTGAAGATAATGTGGAATTTTTTTAACGAGGCTAGCAAACAAATGAAAAGGTAAAATCATTTTTAAGTTGATAGAAAATATTTTTAAAAGAAAATGTCTGCATATAGAAATAAAGGTTAAAATATAAGAATTGACAGTTGTGATAAACTGGTGACAGAAGACAATAAATTTTAAAAATTATTTTAAAAAAACCTTGTGACCATGTATAAACAAGAATAGGTATAAGCAATGCTGTGTAGAAATTAGTTAAGATATCAAGTTGAGAAGAACATTATGCAGAGCAAAATGGATTGTGAATGGGTTACAATTTCTGTGTAATTGGTAAACAAATCCAAGAGTCGTTTGTTTGTGAAGTACAAAAGCACAATCAACTTTAAAAAAAAAAAAAAAAAAGTCCAGGTGCACTGGCTCAAGCCTGTAATCCCAGCACTTTGGGAGGCCAGGCAGGTGGGTCACTTGAGCTCAGGAACTTGAGACCAGTGAAACCCCGTCTCTATTAAAAATACAAAAATTAGCTGGTTGTGGTTGTGTGCGCCTGAAATTCCAGCTACTCAGGAGACTGAGGTGGGAGGATCACTTGAACCCAGGAGAGGGAGGTTGCAGTGAGCTGAGATCATGTACCACTGCCCTGAAGCCTGGGTGACAGAGCAAGACTGACTCAAAAATGAAAAAAAAAAAAAAAAAAAAAAAAAAAAAACTATAACAACTAATAAGAATATCAGTAAAGTGACCACTGTAGATGTACAGATTAAATTAGATGTACAAAATAAATACTTTTCCTACATACCACTGATTATGTTAGAAAATAAAATAGAAAAGTTCCATAAAGAAAAAAAAGGGCTGGGTGTGGTGGCTCAAAACCTGTCATTCCAGCTCTTTGGGAGGCCAAGACTGGAGGATCCCTTGAGCCCAGGAGTTCAACATCAGTCCGGGCAACATTGTAAGACCCTGTGTCTATAAAAATGAAAAAACTGGCTGGGCATGGTGGCGCTTGCCTGTAATCTTAGCTACTCCAACGGCTGAAGCAGAAAGATTGCTTGAGCCAGTTCAGAAATGTGGTGAGCTATATTGCACTCCAGTCTGCTGACAGAGAGATATCCCATCTCTTAAAAAAAAAAAAAAGAAATAACTAAAGGATGTTTTATAATATATCTGAAATGAAATGAATCTACCAAAATGTTATTGAGAACATTGAAAACGCATAGGGTAATGTTAAATGGAATAACATGATTAGCACTTTGAAATTATTTACAAAAAGTTTACCATGAAAAATGCTTATGTTATAATATCAAGTATTTTTATGCATAGAAAATAGCATGGAAGAAAATATTCCCAAGTATAGATGTCTGTAACTATTATTGGATAGTTTTATTTTGCATTTTTATTCTTTTTGTGTTTTTCATAAGAAACGTACGTGATTTTGTGATAAAATACATCTTCAATTTTTTTTAACAATTTAGGTAAGAGGTAAGTATTTGCCTTGTCTTCCATGCATAGTGCTTGGTCTTACGCAGGAAAGGAGTTTTATATTTTTTAATCTACATGCTTGTTTTTGTTATTAATGCATATGGTTGTGATTTTCCTTAGAAAGACGTGCGGGACATCCTCACCCCGATTCAAATTGAAGCTGCTTACCACCTTGGGCATCACATCATCAGTAAACGAGGCACAGAGGAATTCCCACCACTTCAGCCAATTCTTCAGCAGAAGAAAGAAAAAGACCTGATTAAAAAAATGGTAGGAATATTTTCCTTTATTCAAATTATTATGTGGCATATAGCTAAATTTTTTGAATATGGTATAATTCTGAAGAAGTGAGCTATATGTCTGAATTTTTGTAGAAACGTTTATGAATTTTTAAAAACAAAGATTTATATGTCTTATTTTCTATTTTTAAAAATTGCTTGTATTCCCTTTAGGATATTGAACTGAGTATTTTAAAATATGCATTTAGTCACAATAGTAGATTCTCATATATATATAATGCTAATGTTCTGTTTGTGATCCCTTGCCAGTGAAGAAAGTTGATACTACTAGAGAGAAATCATAATGGGAGAAGGTTATATTTGTAAGTTAGTTATTCAGTGTCATCATGTGTCCTCAGTTTATTTTCCTCTTCTCATTTCCTGTCTCCCTTGCTCTCATCCTACTAACAGATTTCCTCATGTCTTCACAGTCGAATTTCCTTGCTTAGTTTTATCCATTTATAGACACAGGCATTTATGTTATACAATGATTGCTTTTTTTCAATTTTCATTATATGCATTTCAGCCACATCCCAGGATCAATTGCATTTGAGATAGATCCTACCTTCTAACCGGTGAACTGTTTTCTAAATTATCCCATAATATTTTGGTTTCACCGACAATATATTTACTCTCAGGAGTCCTTTTGTTCAGATCTTTACTGTCTGTCATCACAAAGACATAGTGTTTGTCCAAAAACAGGATGTGTCTGGGCATGGTAAAAAGCCTTCATTAAAACGTTCACTAATGACACACAGAATGTAAAAGATGAAAGGGACATTTAAAGGTCTAGTTCATATCCTGTCCAGACAAAATTGCCCCATAGTCACTTTAAGATAATTGAGCTTACAGTCACCACTAGTCTAGTCTAGAATACAGGATCAAATGAAGATAAGTTAAGAGCAGATTTTTCTCTATAGCCTCATATGAAAATACTTAGGGAAGTCAGGGGTTGTTTTTCCTCTTCTGTTAAACTTCAGCTTTCAACATCAACTATTTTTAAATGTCTTCAATAGTGAAAATCTCCATATTGCAAGTACACAAGCCAAAACCTTAGCAATTTGTAGTTATATTAATTTATATTTTGATTCTTAGAACAACTTGCTTTACAAATAGAAATGGCAGAAAAAAATCGTATTTATTTAGAGAAAGATTGACACTGCTCCCCCAGGTGTGGGCACTTTCTTGTCTAGCACACTATTTGACAGTACTCTAGACACTTCCCACTTCATGAGCCTGGCTCCTTCTGACTTTCTACATTTCTCTTTGTTTTCTGCATCTCTCTCCTTTACCTATTCCTATTATCTTCTCTTCATTTAATCTCTCCCAGTTTTTCCCTTTTGTCCAGCTTATTCCTTGGGACTTCCCAGATCCTTTGTAGTGTTTATTGATCTCATTAAAAAGCTCAGAGTTAATTAAATTCTTGAACCCTTATTTAATTTTGTTCAATATTTCCTCTAAGTAAATTTTCTAAGTATCTCCATGTAGCTAATTTCAATGAATATAAAATCACTGTCCTGACATCTGCCAAAATTAAGTGCCATGCTTACATGTAATAAATGGGATCAAACTGCAGCACCAGAAAATTGAGAAGAACCCAGTGAAAAACATCTTGCCAGTTACTATACTCCTTTAATACCTTTCATTTAACTTTTTTTTTCCAAATCTTATTTCACTTATAAAATTTGGGCTTTAAATTTTACCTATTTAGAACTTAGCTCTTTTAGTCCTGCAAGTAATTGTTGTTTGAACCCTACTAATTCTCAAATAGAACTTTTTAAAGGAGATAAAATAAGGAGTTGTCAATTTGATGTATTAGTTTTATTTTTCTCATGGGTCACAGATGTCATCTTTAAAAAAAGAATGAATATACTTGCTGATTAAAATTTAAAATGTTGTCGTTTTATTTCCAGATAAACTTTGCAAGGTTTTGTACCCATGAAAATTGTTCTGCTGATTTACAGGTTTCTGCAAAGATTGGGTTTTTGCGGTAAGTGTATATGTTATAGTCTCTTATTCATCAAGAGTGTGTGCATTTGCATTCCCAAACGAAAAGGACTAAGAGCTAACCCTTGAAAATTAACAGCATTTAAAGAATTAGCAACATTTCACTACACAATGCTTAGTTTTTTTTATCACCCAGAAAACTGGTTATATCACACCGACTGTATATAATCCAAATATGACAAATTTGAAAAGGAATAAACCATCTTAGTCTTCTAAATTCATTGAAGGGGAAACAGAGTAAAAGGAAATAGATATGATGTGCTTGGAATAGCATCTAACACATAGTGAAGACTAGATAAATGTTGGTTGCTGTTGTTATTTTATGATGGGAAATAAACCACTGCAATTTTGCATCATATCTGGATCCCCTATATTCAAACCATGTTGCATATCAAAGGGATGATGTGAAAACAAGGACCAGAGAGAGACAGAATGAACACTTCCAGTTGAGGATGAGCATAGAGGGCAAGTGAAAGATGGGAAGGAGATGCATCAATGACAGAGCAGGAAAATAGGGACCTGTTTTTGGGAGGTTGCGAAATAAATGGAGCAGCTTTAATTTGGGGCATGTTGAATTTGGAGGGACTTTTATATGTGGCATTCCACTTGAAAATCTAGTTCAGGATTATGTTTAGAAGTTCCTCTATATGTTAGTGACTTGTGAGATGGCCCAAGGGGTGGAAATATGAATTTCATAGAGAAAAGAATTAGGGATCAAATCTTGGAGGACAATTTTATTCAAGGAGATTAAAAAGAATGGGGAGTCCCAATAGGAGACTGAGAAAGCATCTTGAGAGGATTAAAGAGAACCAAGTCCCTGGTGAAATAGCCAATGGAAAATATAAAAAAGGAGACTTAATATTGTAAAATTGGTAAAACCATCAGATAGCACATGTCTGAAAAAAGGTCATGGGAGTTGGCATTTATTAATAAAATGTGACTGGTGGGGGAAAATGAGTATCACTGGCAACTGTTAAGATAGAACACTCAGTGCAGAAGTAGCCAAATGGCAGCATTTGTGATTAAAGAAAGGAGAGTATACTGAGAACAAGTAGGTTCAATTGAGGAGTGTGTGTGTGTGTGTGTGTGTGTGTGTGTGTGTGTGTGTGTGTGTGTGT